GACGACAACTCCCCATCACCATGTTCTTTAATCACTGAAGGAGAGATTTAACACCATCAATCACTGGCAGCAGTGAGGAAGCAGCTGAATCCACCGTCGCCCCCACTTCACCACCCATTATGGAATTGAGTGACGATGAGCCCGATGACTTCCGTCCTGTCGCCGAGGATAGGAACTGTACAGTAAAGTGAAATTTTTATCTCTTTTTTTTTATTAGCTTTTCTTGCCATGTTTATTGTTTGTAAAATTGCACAGCACAGTACAGTACTGTACATAGGAAGTGGAGGTGCAGTTATTCACAAAACATTTGTGTTTGTTGTCGGCAGTAGTGACGGTGAGGAGGCGGAGGGAGCGAGCTGGGAGGAGTGGTGACCTTGGACACGGGAGCAGGGACGAGATGCCAGCGAGTACATTACGGGTATATTAATTTTTTTATAGCTATTTTTGCATTTTAATATTAAATACTGTACATTACGTTTCAACAAAAGTACCATTTATTTCTGAGAACATGGAAATGTAATATTTTTGCTGAAATGATGTACGTATTACAGTGGAAAGTGGGATAAAATTGTGACGAAAGCAATGACTTTCTTTCGTTCAAAAGATGTTACCGTAATCGCTTTTCGAATGGTTTTCAGTTGTGGGATTATAAGGCTAATGATAGGATAGAATATTATTGTAATACAGTACGAATACAACAGTTTTTTAACTGAAAACCATTCGAAAAGCGATTACGGTAAAATCTTTTGAATAACGAAAGAAAGCGAAAGTCATTGTTTCCGTCATGATTTTATCCCACTTTCCACTGTAATATGTTCGTCATTCCAGCAAAAATATTACATTTCTATATTTATTTCTGAGAATACGTATATTCATTCAGTCACAGTTAAGGTAAAATACACTTGTGATGTAATATTTTAATGAAAATACGGTATCGTAGTTTTCTTTTGTTTCAAATTTAAGTAACAAAGATTGATGTTTCAAATGTAATGAACAAAAATTTATGTCCAGTATCTATAAATAAACTTTAATAAATGAATACTTTATGTTTTACATCGTCCTGTGCTACCATACCATGGATTTGGCTACTTTGGGCTTCCTATGATGACGCAAGAGATCTGCCCTGGCAACTGTACCGACACTCACAGCTGGTGGTGCGTTGGTGCATCGTTTCCATTGTTTACTGGTAGTCACTGGTAAATATTTTTCAACCTTTTAGAGGTCGACCCCCAATTTTTTGCCAAATAATTTGGTCTTAAAAACTCGAGCTACACGCAGGTCTATACGGTAAATAAGGACATGGGGGCCAGGGTTTTTTTTTGGGGGAGCACATATACGTGGATTTTTAACATCCACGGCTATCTCTGTTACGTAACCCCCGCGTATGTTAAGGGCCGACTGTACAGTAATACCCCGATTTACACCGTTTCGCTTTACGCGATTCTACAATTACGCGGTACCTAGCCAGAACTGGAATTTCATTTTACACAGTGCATCTACTCATATACGCGGGTGAAGTATAATTTTTTATTTAGCTCATAAAATTCATACAAATTACCCGGCCAGAATATAATTTACATTCCTGGAATTCTTACAATATGATGATCATTATGAATCTAAACATCATGGATTTTGCATTAGACATACAAATTTTAGATCTAATGTAATAATTTGGTTTACACAAGCAAATATTTTATCTTTTGTGCAAAATATATTTAGTTTACATTCAAAATGTTCCCTGACCTGCAAGGAATCCAGAAATGTCAATTATATTATCTTAACTTTAGTCCGAGTTATTATTTATTACTAAAAATGTAAATATACTGTTTTCTCCCACACATTTCTCTGGTAGGGAGGGAAGGTGGGGGGTAGGTAGGGAGGGAGAGAGGGAGGGACCGACCCAGCTAGGGTGGAGGTGGGGTATTTTGATTGACAGATAGTGTGTGAAGAATATTTTTTTTTATTTACTGAAGATATTTGTTTTAGCTCATAAAATTCATACAAATTACCCGGCCAGAATATAATTTACATTGCTGGAATTCTTACAATATGATGATCATTTTGAATATAAACATCTCTTGTGTGACCATATTATTGATTTATATTGTATAAGGTGCATTCATAAACATTATTTAGAGAACATACTGTAGTTTGCACTTTTCATTATAATTGTATTGTTTTGGGAGGAAACGAGGGTAAAAAGTTATGAAAAGGTCACACTTGGGAATGCATCTCATTATTATTGCTTTATTTTAATGGTAATTAATGATTCATGACATGATGAATCACCTTACACTGCAATATTGGAGGACATATTACCGTTATTATTCAAGGCTTTACTGCATACAGTATAACAAAAACCGGCCATTTCTCACCACCGTGAAGAATTCATGAGTTTCCGAGAGCAGAATTACCACCAGGAGTAGTTGTACGATTTAGTTCATTTTTTCCACATGTTCTTATCATTATGGCAAGTACAGTATTTTAAAAAAGGCGACAGTCACTAAAACCCAATACTGAACTGTAGAACCATTTAGTTAATTTATTCCCACATGTTCTTATCATTATATCATGTATTTTAAAATGGTGACATTCACCAAAACCCAATACTGTAGAACCTGGCCTAACCAAACAAAGAAACCTACCTAATTCCCTAGCCGAGGGGCAGACCTCCCACCATATTAAACAGAAAGTACTGATTTTGATATCTCAGTGTGAATACAGTCTAGTCACAGTGCTATAGTATGCTGTATATTGCCCCTTGCATCATGCCACCAAAGCATCCTTTAAGTTCTCCGGGTACCAGTGGTGCTAAGAAGTGTAAGGCCACCACCATTGAAATTAAGATGGATGCGATCAAATTTTATGAGAGGTGAACGAACAACTGATATTATGCATGCCCTTGAACTTAATGAATCTAGTTTGCAGACTATTCATGAGAGTGCAGAGATGATCAGAGAGTGCCAAGAATGGAACATTAATAAGTACATCTACTACCTAATATTCCTGAAGTTCAGTTATGGAGAGGATGGAACATATGCTGAGCACATGGACAGAACACCAAACTCACAAAAATTTTCCCGTTAGTGCATGCTGTAGTTTTTCACTAGTATAATAGTATAATATAGGGCAGTCTTATTAATGGCAAAACCCCTATATCCTCTAGTTACATTGATTTACCCTTTTTGATTTGCACAACCATTTTCAGTAACATAATGGTAAAAAAAGCGAGGTTCCTGTACTTCAAACTCCTTCCTCTTAAAACAACAACACCATACTCTATCCAGGGGTTGTTATATGGACTGTTTCAAGAAAAACCATTTGTTGTTAGTGTTAGGACAATGCTTCAACAACTAAGGCCTTTTAAATGCAATAATTTTTTGTAAAACACTAATACTGAACATCAACAATAAAAAATACAAGATAGAACTCCCTAGGATACAAATCACACAGCCTGGTTGTCGACAACATTTTCATGGATAAATTTTTTCGTACTGTAAAGTGTTACATATTAAGCAACCAGAGAATTTGCCTTCTGAATAAAGAAAAAACTGTATACTGTGCAGTACTATGATAAAAAATTAAGAGTGTAGGAGTATATTGGGTGAAGGAGATGAGAGTGATCTGGGAGCAGCCGATGGGAGGTAATGAAGGTGGGTGGCCCCCCTCCCTCCCCTGGATTCTTTTACTATGTCGTTATGCAATTTGATCATAATATTTCTTTATGCAATTTCACCTTAATTTCCATACTACTGTTCTTAGGTTCATTTGATGTTGAATATATATAACATTATTGTAAAATAATCAGCTTTAAAAAAAAATAAAAAAAAGCCCACAATCAAACCCAGATAAGTCGTTGTCGTATTAAATTTCCAGTCGTTTGTTTACAAAGTCCAAACAGCTGATCATCCTTGCTCCCTCACTCATGCTGTCCATCTCCTCTGCTTACCACAACATGTCTTCAGCACTTGGTGATTTATCAGCACTTAGTAAATAATATTGTAGTGTATTTATCAGCACTTGTTAAATACAGTAATATTGTAGTACGGTATACAGTACTGTATTATTCTTCTGGTTTATTCATTACTCAGTTGTCTAAGATTACAAGTAGCCAAATCAAGGCACAATGTATGACTCAAAGGTAATAAATAACATTGTTTAGGAAGGTATCTCCATCTCAAATATGATGCAGTATGATTAAGTGATCCAGTTCTCAGGTGATTTTCTGAAAGCTCTCACTTCAGGAATACATCCTGAATGCCTACTGCTACAGCTTATCCTTTTATTTTTGTAAAATTACAAATTATATTTTTCTCGATTACTTAAGATACTATGTTATTCATGATGAACCATACACCATAAGAGGCTGATCATACAAGAATATAATAATGAATCAATAAACAAACCTGGTGAATGTGACAATGCCCAGTCACCACCACCCCCAGCACGTTTACATATGCAGTGACTTAGCTATCATACTAAGTAGCTCTTATTAGGCCTACAGTAAATTTGATTAGATCATTGCATATGAATCAGTAAGCAAATGTTTTTATTTTCCTAAGTTTTTTGTACCTATTTATTTAAATCCTTCAAGCATTCCTGTTAAAGACAAAACATACTCCACAAAAAGTTCACGCAAATCAGAGCAGGTAGAAAAGTGTGGCACACTGATATGATACATATGAAGGAAGGACCCAGACTGTGACACATGCTGCAGCCATACAGACATTCAACTGCATGTACGAACATACAAACCGGCAGAACTGATACTGGATTTTCGGTACTTTCTTTAATGTTTCTGGTGAATAACAGCATGCCACAGTCCAGAGCACCCCAAGGGCCCATCATTAAGGACCTAAATTCATTAACTACTGTACCTGTATTTTTTATTGTCAAGATATTATTTTTGTAAAAAGATCACCCAAACAAACTTTTAAACCTTTTCCCAATTCTACTGAGGGTGAAATTACCCATGATTAGTAACTATGTATAGAACAAACCTGGTTTAGCTGTAGCTTTCTGTGGAGGTTCATCTTCCTCAGAGCTGCTCTCCTCACTGCTGCTCTCAGCAGCCTTTTGAACTGCCACCTGGAATTTATTAATTTGTTATTTGACATAGAATATAAGAATATGATAACAGTTTCAACTATCTAAGCATAAAACATCAGCAACCTTTGAACCTAAAAATCTATAATCCTCATAAGTGACCTCTGATTATTATTCATAAGTATGAAAAATACTGTAAGTAGAACTTTTCAAACGTGTTAGCTCTTTTTGTTTGGTTCCATTTTGTTCTTTATGCATTTGCTATACTACTGATCCATAATGGTATTATGAACATGGAAAACACCAGGAGACTGAGATGATGGCGACATGTACAGTACTGAAGGTAAAATCATCTGAAGCCTGAAAAGATAGCTTTTGAATCTTATACAGGTAGTTCTGCTATAACGCGATAATTGTGTTCTTGTAAAATATCGTGTTATAGAAAATCGCGTAATAGAAATAACAGGGCTTATGGAGAAAATAGGTTTAGGTGCAGTTTACTCGAAATCGAAAAAATTTAGTAGTTAGCCTAACACAAAGGATAGCACAGTCTAAATAAATGTTACATTCATATCTAATAATGAAATCATACAGTAAATTTAACACTTTACCTTGAAAAAATATGAATGTAACTTGATGGGGGAGAAGGGTGATTTTGAGGTTGATAACATCAAGCTTCTCTTCAAGTGTTATATCCTTTCTTTTACGATAATCACCGGGAATTCTATCATCAGAATGCTTTTTGGAGATATTCTTCTTTACCATATTCACAGTTAATACCACAAAATTGGAGAAATAGTAAGCAAAAATCGCGTTATAGCAAACAAGCGATCGCGTTATACAAATATTGTTCCGAATTCATAAATCGCGTTAGAGCAAATTCGCGTTATCAAAACACGCGTTATAGCAGAACTCACTGTACTCCTAAAAGGCACAGTAAACCACAACCGATCTACTATACAAAGAGACAAATTTGTGTAGTGTAAAACAAAAACTGTGTCATTCTTGTTGAAGAACTGGGATTATGGGAGAAGTACAGTTCCTAAATCAGACAAATTCCCCCCAAAATAATAAAGTCTGGCTTTTGAAATATTATTCCCATAATTCTACATTTGCATGCAGCTAGTCTCCAAAATGCACACATTATCATTAAAAAAAATCGGATCCCTGAACAAAGTATGGTAAAGCACAATGGGTTCATCTGTGTTATGACTTGCTGGCTGCTAGAAGTGCCACTGTCACCAGCAGAACCCAAAATTAATATCTAGTGGGCCATCCTCCTATAAAACAGTATCCTTGCTGATATTTACTTTTGCATAGGTGATTTCAGGAGTGAGCTGATAATTTTTGATCATGTTACAAAAATAACAGTGCTAACCTTAGGTGTTGAAGCATTGGGCAAGGCAACTGCCACCTTTTTCTTGGGGGGTCCCTCAGATTCCTCAGATTCATCTTCTGAATCCTCTGATGAACTAGCTGGTTGTGCCTTGCCTTTGGCTGCCTTTCCTTTACCATTCACTATAACAGGAGCTGCCTTGACTTTTGCAGGTGTAACTGCTTCCTCTGTTAAATCATATGCACTATAAATAATATAATAATCAAGAACTTAAAAATCACAGGTACAATAACTTAATATAATAATCAAAAGCACTTATCTAATTTCTATAAGAAATAAAACCTCTACACATGACAAAAAATAAAAGAAAAGAATCCTGATTGTAACAGTATCAGTTCTTACTATTTACTCTGAAAGTTTGTTTCTTCTAACAATCATAATCTTTGTCTGCCTGTAAAAGATATACTGTACTGAACTGCAATTACTGTATATCCTTCCTTAAATACAAGGTACCTCATTGTGCACGCACGCGCACACACACTTCATCCTTGACCACCAACGGGTCATGACGGGTCAGGCGCACCTGGTGCTGCTCAGCAGCAGCCACGCCAACTGTTATGTTGGCCCATACAAACTCCCTCCCCTGAACCCTCCTCCCCACCGGAATATCAACAAGTTCTCGCCAGAAGTTACTATTTCATTTGGGAAAGGAATGGAACCAGTGTTGAATAGTGGTGAACAGTGCTGAAATCAGTGAAAAACAACTCAGCAGTTACAGTTGAGTCTTACCCAAGCTAGCCTTCACACAGTGAGGTTCCAGGTACCCAGTGATAATTCCCCTGAGACTCCATGATAGAGAGGCCTGGGACCACACCTCACCCACTTGAGTGAGTCAAGTCCTGTAACTACAGACCATGTGGTGTCCCCATGATGCTATGACACCACGTAGTGAACGAGTTGCTACATCATGTGAAGTTCCTCATAACACCATCTGTGAGGGAATTACTATGCCATGTGCTGCACCTCATAACACCATCTGTGAGGGAATTATTACACCACATCAGGCCCCTCATACACCATCTGTGAGGGAATTACTACACATCAGGCCCCTCATAACACCATCTGTGAGGGAACTACTACATCATCAGGCCCCTCGTACACCATCTGTGAGGGAACTACTACATCATCAGGCCCCTCGTAACACCATCTGTGAGGTAACTACTACATCATCAGGCCCCTCGTAACGCCATCTGTGAGGGAATTACTACACCACGTCAAGCCCCTCATAACACCACCTGTGAGGGAACTAGTTCTCCACGTGATGCCCCTCATAACGCCATCTGTGAGGGAGTTACTACACTACGTGTCTGCTGTTCAACACCTCAGCTCACATGATCTACGTGTGTAAACAGTAATCTGTATGGTCACTGTATGTTCCTTCACCTATCTCTAATGAAGGCTCTTGTTAAACCACCAATGTATGTAATAAGTCATTTATGTCCAATGTATATTTTCAGCCTTCGGGCTGCAAACTTTTTCAATAAACCGTTTATTATTATTACACACACACACATACATACAGTGGTCCCTCGGTTAACAGGCACAATTCGTTCCAGAAGGTGGGTCATTAACCGAAAAAATCGTTAACCGAAACCATTGTTTCAATGGGTTTTTGGGTAATTAGTTCCACCTCACTGAAAATTGCCTAAAATCAACAAAAAAGGTAGTAAAGTACACTTACTTTGAGGTGTGTATGTAGAAGGCTCCTGGATGATGATGATGATGGAAATTAGAATGGGGGTGGAGGAAAAGGGGGAAGAGAAGGCATTGGGGTGGAAGAGAAGTTACTCCATGGTGCCATTTCGCCCATAAAATTTTAGTTCTCTTGGTGTAATTCAAGATTATTTTCTTTAAATCAACACTGCACTGCATTATATATTGTCAATATGTAAAATCAATTTCAAATTAACCAATAATTAGCTTGGAAACACAGAAAAAAGCATTTAGTTGAAGAGAGTCTCAAGCAAGATGTTACCTCCACTGAAAAGACAGTGTGGTGTGTTGACAGGCTGTTTGGCGCACAAAAAACTAGCTTCCTATACTTCAATTATGTTCAATAATTGTTAAAATGACTAAAAAATTTAATATAAAACTTTTAAAATTATTGAATAGTACAAACTTCTTGATATTTACTAAAATAGTAAGGAATTTAAGCCGTAGAACCAATTACTGCATTGGCGGACTAATACTACAGCTGGTGGACCGCCAAATGCAAGCGAAAATATGTGGAGGGGCGCTCGTTAAAAACTCATTAATCGAGGGATTGCTCGTTAACCGAAGTTAAGAATCTTATGGAAGGTAATTCGTCAACCGAAAACTTGTTAACCTAGGGATCACTGTACGTCCTCAAAGAGTGAGGACAATGTTGCTGTTGTAACACTACCATTCATGCAATCCTCATGAAAATCTGTTGGTTACTGCTATACATTATTTGGCACTACCCTGCCCTACTGTATTAACATTCACACTGCACAATTCTTCCTTTATACGTAAGTGCAGTCATCCTTTTCAGCATCATAATTATAAAATAATGACCATGACCCACTAGTCACTAAGTCATATACACTACTCAACTGTATAAGGAAATTATTTCATCAATAAGATTTGGTCATGTAGTTTAACCTAACATTTTTTTTTATATTGTACAATGAATTTTGATTTTGTAAAAAAAAAATCAGATTTTCAGATTTGCCCCCACACAGCACAGGGGCTAGTTTATTTGCTACCACTTCATATCCTATACAAGGCAAAGCTCAAAAAAATTAGAGTCCAACAGGTAAGCATGTGGGCGTGAGTACCTGAGCAACCAATGGTTGTTATGTTGTGATGTAGGCAGGACCACGTGGTCCACGCCGCATCGTTCCACGACATTTTTTTTAATTCAAATAAATTTTCCTGAGAATTAAGTCATTAATCAGACTGTAGCAAATTTATATAAGGTTTTTGAATCACAATTGTCACTTTTGATGGTATACACCACTGCTCCAGAACCCCTCTAGGGGTACCAGTAGATCACCCAACCTCTGACTATCCAGCACCCCCCCCCCCCTTCCAAAGTGAAAATGCTGAAATATGAAACAGAAATATATGGGCAATCAATACATACCTGAATTTCCCTTTGACGACCTATCCTTACGTGGTTTCTTGGCCAGTGGAGCATCAAGACTTAAACGACGCTTGTTCGGGGAAGTTCTGAAATAAACACAACTTCTAGATAGTCAATGGTCTTCACAAATATCTTATTGTTTACCTGTATATAACCAAGAATCGTTGTAACGTAAATATATTGATCTATTAATGTGTCCCTGCCATTGAGTTGAATAATAAATATATGTACAGGTAATCCCCGACTTACGACTGCCTCAACTTACGTCCATTGGTACTCACGACCTGCTCTGACCTTACGACCGCCGCAGTCGTGGCCAAAAATATTTTCAAATGACGTGCGCATTTTCTATACCGAAACGTTTCCGTCCCGGGCGAGAGCGTGGCATGGGTCACCGTGTGGTTACACTCACTCAGTACAGCGCTTAGTTGGTGTTTGACTATCGTATCCTATACTGATCGCGCTGTGAACTTTCGTTATTATCGTATTTAATTGACTTTATAATGACTGGAAAGTGTTCAAGTGAGAGTGCTGGTGGTGCTCCAAAAAAAAAGAGACAGGCAATTACTTTTGAGATGAAAATGAAGATAATAATACAGCATGAGAATGGTAAAACAGTAGCAACAATCTCACGCGACCTAGGTTTCTTGCACTCGACCATATCCACTATTCTGAAGGACAAGGAACGTAATCGTGATGTAGTGAAAGGAACAACACCTATAAAGGGAACTATAATTTCGAAGAAAAGACAAGGTCCTATTCACGATATGGAAAAATTATTGGTGATATGGATAGAAGACCAGATACAGAAGCGTGTACCTTTAAGCCTTCTAACCTTACAGGCTAAAGCAAGAAGCCTGTTCCAAAGCCTGAAGGAGCAGGCAGGAGATGAATGTGATCAAACCTTTACAGGAAGTCATGGGTGGTTTGATAATTTAAAAAACGCTACAGTCTACACAATGTTAAGGTGAGTGGAGAAGCAGCTAGTGCCGATGTTGGTGCTGCTGGAGCTTTTAAGGAGGAGTTAGATGAAGTGATTGTGGAAGGGAATTATTTGCCTGAGCAAATATTCAATGTGGATGAGACTGGATTATTGTGGAAGCGCATGCCTGAGCGGACATACATCCACAAAGAGGCGAAAACAATGCCAGTCACACTGTATCCATTCCTCATTATTTATTCTTTTACTGTACTGTATTTCATTGTAGATTTTTTTTTATCTACTGTATGTCGGACTTATGACCTGGATTTGGGTCCCTAACCCCGTCGTAAGTCAGGGAGCACATGTACTGTACTTAGAATTGGTGTTTAGAGAGATTTCCCCTAAAAACATAGTAACTGTTAAATAATTAATTGGCCACGCTACCAAACCTCCTCACTTTTCAATCCTACAACTAATAACTTCTTCCTATATCTTCTGTACAAGTTTTCACTCATTATAATGTACTCGGAATTCACTCTTTTGGACTCTGGGGTGGTCAAGACTGCCCCTCTATTTGTCGGATATATTAAAAAAAAAAAAAAAATCCAGAAAATTGTGCATCAGTGGGTGTCACATGACATGCCTCAAACCAAGTCCTGCATTCATATGTACAGTATCACCAATGCACTGCACCGCACCTTGTTACCTACACTCGTTTACATGAACTTTAAGTGGTTTACTACAAACTTTGAGTTACGATAGCTTCCCCTACCCCATCAATGTCTCATATCTACAGTAATATTAAGTTTGTAAAGTTAACATTAAGTATAGTTTGTTAGGTGAAAAGAACCACATACAGTACCTGTATTGTTTAAGTTGGAAATAGAAAATGATTACTATCCAGTTTAAAATTTAAGTGCCAAACAATTAACAAACTCTTGGTGGCGACACACTGGCACTTTACTCCCAACACATTGGTCGTTTTTGCTGGCCACTAGCCTGACAGCAAAGCAACAACAGGATTTTACCCGTTGCAAGAACTAGACAACGGTTTAGCGGCAAGCTTTGATGACCGGATGAGTGATGAAATGAGCTTCATATCAGGTGCTGAATATTCAAGTAAAAATTTTATTAAATCGTGAAACAACACTAATTTAAAATATAACACATAAAACAGTGAAATGTTTCATTTATTCAGCACTTTAAATCACTATTCAGGGTCTCAGACCAGCCAGCCGTTGCCACTTGTAAACTAACTTCACGATGGCTTTCCAGCACCCAAACATAGCCTCTCTTCATCTTCTAGGAAGATTATATGGAGTTGTGAAACAGCACAAAACATCCCAGTGTGATGAAAACATCTTGTTTTGATGGCTAGACCGTGTTGAGCCGCACAGTTGGGAGGAAAAGTGCCCAGCGTGCAGTCGCCTTAAATTGTACCTGAACAGCGTAAGTGCACCTTCTACTTCCACCTTTATCAGTTTTATATGTTTTGCTCTGTTTAACTTATAAATAATGGCTAGCATCTTATGTAGAGTATGTATTCTCTTATAATGGGGACACTATACAGTGTCTCATCAGATTCTATATAGGCCTGATGAGAGCTCATAAATACAAGAGATGAGACCATGTACAGTATAAACGTGCTTGGGGGGGGGTTACTTGCCATTGCCACATTCTTCAGTTTGTTCTTATCTATAAATTATTAGCATATTCTCTTATGATCAGCCTGTTATGGTTAAGTCAGCTCAGTGGAATCTCCAGTCAGGTCAAATCACGTGGATCGCAAGTAAGGTCAAGTCACATACTGTACTTGTAAACCACACGAATTAAAGCACCAAACGACTTTACATATACTGTACTATATTCCTGGGAGCTATAATAGAAAGCTTCATCCCACTTGCCTTAACCATTTTACATAAAATAAACTGAAATGAATAAGGTTAACTTTGTGACTGAAAAATAATGGAAAAGAATAGACAGGTAAAAAAAACTGCACTGATCCACAAAGTTGGTATGCAGTTCACTTCCCAGCGCAGGTCACTGACCCACATCAGGGCCTGGGGGACGAAAATGTAATACGGTAGTAACAGTAATAATAATAATAATAATAATAAAGAAATAAAAAAATAAAAAAATTAAAAAGTGAGAAACAATATAAATGTTGTGATTAGTCAATAGGCCGGTTGGCCTGTGCATGGCAGCTCCTGTCTTGAGTTACTACCACTCTCTATCATCCATGAATCTATCTAGCCTCCTTTTGAAACTTTCCAGCATTCCAGCACTTACTACAAAGTTGCTAAGCTTGTTCCACTCGTCCACCACCCTATTTGTAAACCAGTTCCTTCCTATCTCCCTCCTAAACCTAAACTTATCCAACTTAAATCCGTTGTTCCGAGTCCTATCCTGCTCGGATATTATAAGAACTTTATCTATATCACCTTTATTGATTCCTTTCACCCACTTAAATACTTCTATGATATCTCCCCGCACTCTTCGTCTTTCTAGGGAATGCAAGTTTAGTTTCTTTAACCTATCCTGATATGGAAGGTTTCTAAGTCCCAGAATCATTTTCGTCATTCTTCGCTGCACCGACTCTAGTAAATTCATATCCATTCTATAATAAGGGCACCAGAACTGAACCGCATAATCGAGGTGCGGCCTGACTATAGCAAGATATAGTTGCAATAAGACCTCTGCACTCTTATTACTTACACTTCTAGATATAAAACCCAATACTCTGTTTGCCTTATTTCGAACATTAACGCACTGTTTTTTAGGCCGTAGGTCCAGGCGTACAAGTACCCCTAGGTCTCTTTCACAAGTCGACTTCTCTAGGTTGATGTTGTTAAGGCTGTACACATTGACAGTATTTGTTCTTCCAATATTAAGTACACTGCACATGCTGGTGTTGGATTTCATTTGCCATTTTTCAGACCACCCCTGCAGTTTATTTAGATCCTCCTGTAATGCATTTGCATCCTGCCCTTAATTAATCTGCCGCCCTATTTTGGTGTCATCCGCAAACTTGCTTATGTCACTGCTGATCCCAGTATCTAGATCGTTTATGTAGATTATGAACAAGAGTGGGCCTAGTACTGACCCCTGGGGAACCCCACTGGTTACACGACCCCACTCAGATTTAACACCATCTACGCTGACCCTCTGCGTTCTATCAGTGAGCCATGATTTTATCCAATATAAAACTTTCCCCTCGATACCATGAGCCTTAACTTTTTTCAGAAGCCTCCGATGCAATACTCTGTCAAATGCTTTGCTAAAGTCTAAGTAAATAACATCGTAATTTTCATCATTATCTACTACCTCGAAGACTTTCCTAAAAAACGTCAGCAGATTTGTTAGACAAGATTTTCCCTTTGTAAACCCATGTTGAGAGTCGTAGATTAATTTGCTTTTCTTTAAATGCGATCGGATGTTATCTGCTATAATTGATTCAAGAAATTTCCCCACTACTGACGTCAAATTGATCGGCCGGTAATTTGACGCTGATGCTCTGTCTCCCTTTTTGAATATGGGTACTACATTTGCCTGTTTCCACAAGTCTGACACAACTCCGGTGTCTAATGATTTTGTAAATAAGTTTACGAGGGGTACGCTAATCTATTCCCTACACTCTTTCAAGACTCGATGGAAAATTTCATATGGCCCTGGGGATTTTGTCTTCTTTAGTTTATTTATCTTCTTAAGAACATCCTCTTTTCTGAAAGTGATATTCTTTAATTTCTCTTCTTCCTTTCCCTTAAATATCAGTTCCACCTCTGGAATTTCATAGTGAATTTCTTCTGTGAAAACTGATAAGAAGTAGCTGTTCAATGCTTTGCTTATTTCTTCACTGCCATTTATCACTTCTCCCCTCCCTGACTTTAAAGGCCCAACTTTGTCCATGACCTTTGTTCTATATACAGTAAACCCCCGCTTTACGCGGTTTCACTTTACGCGTTTCCACGTTTACGCGGTACCCTGCCGAAACCGGAATGCTCACTTTCCGCGGTGTGTGTACCCTTTTACGCGGAGAGCGGCGCGAGCAGGGTGCGCACAAGGTCGCCCAGTCATCAAAACATTACCGAGTTCTTCACCCGCCACCCACCACAGCCGGCCCAAGTCAGTGATAATGATAGTGAGGATATGGACTTATATGGACTTTGAGGGGTTTGACAAAGAGGCCCTGCAAGCCTCTGTGGTGGATAGTGATACAAGTGATACAGGTGAGGGCCAATAATCTGCCCTCTGCCTCGGAACCAACCCCCCATCCCCGTGTGCCCAGCCATCTTTTCTACTAATGTAAGTGTTAAAAAACCTAATATTATTGATATTTCTCTTAATTATTGTGTGTGCATACCATCATAAAATTAAGAAGTTATTTTTACTACAACGTAGGTATTGTGTCTGAAAAAGTGGAGTTTGGGGGTCGGCCAGGTCTCTATTTCAATTAATCCCATATGTTATGTTGTTCACTTTACGCGGGCCGCCGTGGTTTCAATTGACCGCGTAAAGTGAGGGTTCACAGTACAGTACTCCCTCTTTATCGACGGGGGTTACGTTCTGTAAACGGCAGTCGATAAAGAAACCGTCGATACCGTGATGGTTACGTAATTTTTCTAACTATTATTAGCATATGTTGAATAAATGTACCTTTAAGCATTAATGCGTTTCCTTTACACATAACCTTAAATAATAGTGTATAAATAATAATATAATAAGTGGACAAAAATACTAGCAAACTTACGATTTCATTTATTGAAGTGAACATCGGTCCTTACAGTAAACAAAACAGTGTACAGTACAGTAAAAGTCCAAAAATCCGGATGCCCAAGGCAAATTGTTTACCATTTATTATTACAACACTTTACACTGAAACGCGGGTACTTTCAACAAAAATATTGTATATTTCCATTCAAGTATTTATTCAAGTCAATTAGGAGGGAATATTATTGTAATACAACAGTTTTTTAACTAAACCATTCGAAAAGTGATTACGGTAACATCTTTTGAACGAAAGAAAGCGCAAGTCATTGTTTTCGTCACGATTTGATCCCACTTTCCACTTTAATACATACGTCATTTCAACAAAAATATTACATTTCCGTGAATGTATTATATCAAGCACAGTATGAATAGAATATCATTGTAATATAACAGAATTTTAACCGAAAACTATTAAAAAAACGAGTAACATCTCAAGAACATTGGAAGGTTAGGTAAAGTCTTTTGTTTTCGTCATGTATTTTATCCTATTTTACATTGAAATACGTCACGTTTCAGCAAAACTACTATTTATTTCCGAGAATATATTCATTCAGGCGCAGTTTAGGTAAAATATACGTGTGATGTAATAATTTTTTAACTGAAAACGATTCGAAAAACACGTGTACCCTGTAGCCCTGTTCAAGGAGAGGACTGGGAGAAGCTGTTTGGTGCTGCAGACGATGACAAGGAAAATGATTTTGATGGATTTTAATGAAAATATTCAGAAATATGGTATCGTAATATTTATTCAAGTCAATTAGGATATTATTGTAATACAATACAACAGTTTTTTAACTAAACCATTCGAAAAGTGATTACGGTAACATCTTTTGAACGAAAGAAAGCGCAAGTCATTGTTTTCGTCACGATTTGATCCCACTTTCCACTGTAATACATACGTCATTTTAGCAAAAATATTACATTTCCGTGAATGGATTATATCAAGCACATTTCAAAATAAAAATCCGGCTAAATAATCCGTCGATAATCGAAACCGTCTATAAAAAATCCGTCGATAAAGAGGGAGTACTGTACCTGGAAAAATCCCTTAGGATTCACCTTGGATTCTCTTGCTATTTTGATTTCATAGTCTCTCTTTGCTTTCCTTACATTTTTCTTAACATTCCTAGATAGTTCATTATACCTATTTCTGAGCTGCTCCTTCCCTCCCTTTAATTTCTTATATATTTCTTTCTTTATTCCTATGTCATGTTTAAGTTTTCTGGTCATCCACCTTGGCTCATTCTTATTTGACCTAATTTTTCTGTATGGTATATTTTGTTCTTGTGCTTTATGTAGTATACTAGTGAATATATTATAGTCATGATCAATTGTTCTGTCATCTATGACCTCACCCCTTCCTACTGGTGACTGACGTGACTGTTCCCAGGTGACCTCACCAAGGTACCTTCTTAACCCCTGATAATCCGCCAACCGAAAGTCTGGGACTCAGACCATATTGTCATTGTTTTTTGTTTCCCAATTTAGGGTGAACCTGATTTCTTTGTGATCACTGTTACCTAGTTCTTCCCCTACTGTGATATCTCCGATAATATTTTCTTTATTTGTAAATACTACGTCTAATGTATTGTCACCTCTAGTAGGTTCTGTAATTAGTCGTTTCAAAAAATTGTCCTGTACTGCGTCTAGGAAGTCTTCAGATTCATAGTCACCTACAATGTTGACCCAGTCAATATTTCTGAAGGGTCTACCATCAACAACACATTATGCACTTACTTGAGGTAATGCTGAATGACATCAACTAATGAAGGTGCCCCATCTGGTAATTGTGGTAGCTCTACCTGAAAGTGGAAATTATTTTTCATTACAGTTATTGTACTGGGGATGATATACTGTCTGCAGATTACCCGTAAAATCTTATTTTCTAGGGAAGTTCATAATCATGCACCCCCAATTAAGGTGTAAGCAGTTTTTGGGACTAGGGCAGTCAATTATCCTTTATTTTGCATATAAAGGGGTGATTTATAATCTCTCACACAACTACCATCCTTGAATGGATGGACAACAGTCCATCCATTCAAGGATGGTTGCTTCCTAAAGGCAAAGTTTTATAAATTCAGCAAACATCTACAGTATTTAGTACTGATAGTTCCCTTGGTGCCAGTGCTAATCTTCCAATTTGGATTTATTTCCAGGTTTGCTGGCAATCTCAGGGAGCAGTAACCTTGCTTTGCCAGCTAAAATGGCACTTCTATGTCATATACTACCCAGTTCCCACTCTGTAAAAATAGAATTTCAGATCAATATCCCAATTTTAGTTTAACGCTGGCCAAGTAACAATTACTGATTAGAGCTAGCTAGAGAGTAGATGGTAAACTACCAAAACTCGAAGGACTAGGTAGACATCCACCCCACAGATCTATTGAATGGACAGGGAAAACTTGAGCTGGAAGTATTCAGGGACCCTAAGATACTGGACATCTTATTTTCTGCATCCATTGAATTAAGCTATAGCTTAACTTACAAACCAAATACATCAGCCTCAAGAAATTAAAAAATTTACAGTGATTTTTTATTTTAGAGGCGATCTAAATTAATTATGTATTCTATACCCTGTGTTTCCTGCTGAAAAATAAAAATAAAAAATAACGGGAAATCTCAGCTGAAAATGTTTTAAATCAACCACTGTGCACTTTTCCAGCTACAGTCAGAGCCAGTACTCATTCAAAAACAATGACTTCCTCTTACTCAAACAATTCCCCCAAGTTTACCACTAGCATCATTTACCAAGATGTCTAAATGTTCAGCTGCTACTTCTCCTTTCAAGTGAAAAAATAAAATAAAATCATAATTTACAAGATGATGTTAAAATTTTGGTTGAACATGACCAGGAATTGTATCAGTTGAGACACGTTGAAATGGCAAAAGACTTCCTTTAAAAGAAAACTGAAACTACAGTACTGTGAACCAGTTCCTTCCTATCTCCCTCCTAAACTTATCCAACTTAAATCCGTTGCTACAAGTCCTATCCTGCTCGGATATTATAAGAACTTTATCTACTGTATATCTCCTTTATTGAATCCTTTCACCCACTTAAATACTTCTATCATACCTTCCCGCACTCTCCGTCTTTCTAGGAAATGCAAGTTTAGTTTCTTTAATCTATCTTGATAGGGAAGGTTTCTAAGTCCCAGAATCATTTTTGTCATTCTTCGTTGCACCAACTACAGTGATTTAATATCCATTCTATAATATGGGCACCAGAACTGAACTGCATAATCAAGGTGCAGCCTGACTAGCGCAAGATATAATTGCAATATGACCTCCGCACTCTTATTACTTACACTTCTAGATATAAAACCTAATACTCTGTTTGCCTTATTTCGAACATTAACGCACTGTTTTCTAAGCCGTAGGTCCGGGCTTAAAAGTACCCCTACGTCTCTTTCACAAGTCGCCTTCTCTAGGTTGTTGTTAAGGCTGTATACATTGACAGTACAGTTGGGTCTCACATTACGCGGTTAATGTAACCCGGAGGGTACCGCGGAAAGTGAGGAACGCGTAAAGTGAACAACATAACATATGGGATTAATTGAAATGGAGTCCAGGCCGATCCCCAAACTCCACTTTTTGACGACACAACTATGTTGTAGTAAAAATATTATCTTAACTTTATGATGGCATGCACACACAATTAATAATTAAGAGAAATATCAATAATATTAGGTTTTTTAACACTTACATTAGTAGAAAAGTTGGCTGGGCACACGGGGATGGGGGGTTGGTTCCGAGGCAGAGGGCAGATTATTGGCCCTCACCTGTATCACTGGTATCAATTGTATCACTATCCACCACAGAGGCTTGCAGGGCCTCTTTGTTAAACCCCTCAAAGTCCATATAAGTCCATATCCTCACTATAATTATCACTATCACTGACTTGGGCCGGTTGTGGTGGGTGGCGGGTAAAGAACTCGGTAATGTTTTGATGTCTGGGCGACCTTGTGCGCACCATTTTCGCGCCTCTTACACAACATGGCGGATGGCGGGAGGTTTGGATCAAAAAATGGCGCGGCTTGCCAGCCACTCTCCGCGTAATGGGGTTCACGACCGCGGAATGTGAGCATGTTAGGTTCTGGCAAGGCACCGCGTTAACGGTGAAACGCGGAATGCGGGACCGCGTAATGTGAGGATTGACTGTATTTGTTCTTCTAATTAAGTACACTGCACTTGCTGGTGTTGAATTTCATTTGCCACTTTTCTGACCACTCCTGCAGTTTATTTAAATCCTCCTGTAGTGCATTTGCATGCTGCCCTGAATTAATCTGCCGCCCTATTTTGGTGCCATCTGTAAACTTGCTTATGTCACTGCTGATCCCAGTATCTACATCGTTTATGTAGATTATGAACAAGAGTGGAACCAGTACTGACCCCTGGGGAACCCCACTAATTACACAGCCCCACTCAGATTTAAAACCATCTATGCTCACCCTCTGTGTTCTATTGGTGAGCCATGATTTTATTAAATTTAAAACTTTCCCTTCGATACCATGAGCCTTAACTTTTCTCAGAAGCCTCTGATGCGGTAATCTGTCAAATGCTTTAATAATGTCTAAGTACAAGGTAAGTAACATCGTAATTTTCGTCATTATCTACTACCTTAGACTTTCCTAAAAACGTCAGCAGATTTGTTCGACAAGATTTTTCCCTTTGTAAATCCATTTTGTGTCATAGATTAATTTGTTTTTCTCTAAATGCGCTCGGATGCCATTTGCTATAATTGATTGAAGAAATTTCCCCACTACTGACATCAAACTAATTGGCTGGTAATTTGACGCTGATGCTCTGTCTCCCTTTTTGAATATGACTACTACACGTAATTTTAATGCCATAACATCAGTGTTCGCCGTGTTCTTACCCTTAATTTCCTTCATCTTTCATGCCCTACCTACTAACAAGGAATTTAAGATCCTAGGATAGAGTAAATAAAAAAAATGGTAAAAAGCACCCAAAAAATGTTATGGCAAGTTGTGGTTTCTTTTAATATACTTAAAATCATCAAAACCGTAAGTACAGTGGTCTCTCGGTTAACGAACACAATTCGTTCCACAGAGTCGTTCGTTAACCGAAAATTTTGTTAACCGAATCCATTATTTCAATGGAATATTGGGTAATTGGTTCCAGTTCACAGAAAAGTACATACAAAGTAAAGCCAAAAATGCATAAAGTCAGAAACACTCCTAATATAAATCACTACTGTAATGTGATACAGGTGGTTAATTTTTATCTCTTGTACAAAATATATGACGTTTATATTCCAATTATTCGCTGTCTTGCAAGGATTCCAGCAATTCAAAATTAAAATCTCCTAACTTTAGTCTGAGATATTATATAAAAACTGTAAGACTAAAACCCTGGCTGGGCAGATGGGGGAGCAGGAGGGAGGGAGCAGGAGGTGAGGTGATATGTTTGACAGTTGGTGCCCAAAGTCTAATGTGTGTTTATTTATCAGTCCTTAAGTGCCAAAGCTTCTCTCTTATAAAATGCCAGTGAAATGACCTGGGAGAATATAATTTACATTGCTGGGATTCTTGTAAGATAGTGATTAATTTGAATATAAACAAGCTATAATTTGCACTAGACTTAACAATTTTAGTACCGTAATCACTTTAGTACATGTACAGTACAGGTTTGCACTAAGTTCATTTATTTCTTTTACGTTTCTTTTAGTATGGTGTGTGCATGTAAATGGATGAAAATAAATGAAGAAATTTATGTAAATCTACCCAAAAATACAGTTGAAAAACTTTACATTATAAAATGTACTAACTACTGTACACTAATGTATACCACAATTTTTATCTCTTGTGCAAAATATATGACGTTTATATTCAAATTATTCGCTGTCTTGCAAGGATTCCAGCAATACAAATTATATTCTCCTAACTTTAGTCTGTGATATTATATAAGATAAAAACTTAAAGCCTACTGTGTATAACCACCAAACTTTTGCTGGAAGGGGGTGGGAGGGGTGATAGTGACATGTTTGACAGTTAGTGTGAAGGTCTAGTGAAGCATTTATTTGTTTAGTTATGTCTTTTAGATTGAGTTTTTGTTTTCTGCTTATAAAATTTCATAGAAGTGACCGGGAAGAATATAATTTACATTGCTGGAATTCTTATAAGATAATGATTAATTTGAATGTAAACATGCAATAGTTTGCACTAGACTAAAATTTTAGTATTCATTTTGCACAAATATTAAAGAGCAAAATTTTCTTGATATTAACTCCACTGGAAACGAATGTAAACATAGAACAGATTACTGAATTGGCAGACTAGCCCATAAGCTGATGCTCACAACAAAATGTGATGTTCGTAAGGATTTCGTTAATCAAATTTGTTTTCATTAACCGAATTGAAGATTCTTATGAAAGGTAATTCGTTAACCGAAATTTCGTTAACGGAGGCGTTCGTTAACCGAGGGACCACTGTATAGCGAAAATAAAAAAAAACAACTTCTAATGTTAGCAGTTTCATAAACATTTACAAAAAAAAATTCCACAAACTATGAATGTCCTTTACCAAATAGTTAAAATGTGTAGTGAATCTACGGAATTCTATGGTTGCTGTAAACTGCATCATTATCACTTTAAACCCATTATCAATGAAAAACAGCAATAGTCCCAATCAAAACAATTTAAGGTTAAATTTCAGTTATGCACCGGTCTTTCTCTCGCTGTTATTATTATGTTTGGTATTATTGCGTTTTCACATTCCTGCCACTAATCTATTATCATATTTTAATAAGACGTCTAATTATAAGATCATTTTCATCTATTACATTACTGTCGCAAATGTATAATAACGGAGATAGCATATCCAAAATTTTCTCTATTTTCTTCCATTAATCTTCCGCCATTATCGCCTACCTCACCTCCCACACTGCGTGTCTCCTTCATAAATCATCACGCGCATGTGTTCTCGTACACGTCACGCGACCAATCAAAAGCAGGTTTTTTTTTGCAACCAATTAAAATGATTTTTGTTTTAATTCGCAGTATTTATGGCCCAAGCGAATTCGATTTTTATTTTGGGTCTCATATTTCCAAATTCATATTCATTTCCGACCTTGGAAGTCTGTGATGGGTGTCACTTAAATTATATGGAGCCGATTGCGAGTTCTTCCAACCTCAGTAAAGTGTTCTAAGTGCAAGACTGAATGTAAGACCAACATATGTGACGTTGTGTAAGAATCTCAGAATCCAACAACGAACAAGAACCAGGCCAATAAGGTAAGAAATAGGCAATTCCATCATATGGTGAGTCGGTTAGGTTAGGTTTAGCTTTTGTTTTCCTGGTTTTTTTTTGTATTTTTTATTCGCTTAGCCATTATTTTTTTAGGAAAACGTCCCACGGAAAAAAATCGATAAAAAAACAGCCAATTTCCGACGGAAATGAAGGTCATATTCGGTCTAAACACACACAAATAAACTAAAAAAAATATATTTTATACTTTCTAACAGTCGGGTGTGCAAGTGCAAATTTACCATTTGTTTTTCGTAATGTTTAAACAATTCTAAGACCTTTTTCTATATCTCAGCAGGAAATTAAGAAAACCGAGATATTAATTTTTCTATATTATTAGATTTGGTCAGTCAAAAGTGTCGCCATTTGTTGTTTACATATCAGAGAAGGTCTGACCACCCATCACGCAGTGCTCCTTACCTCCGAGTAGGCTTCTTAAGCGTCTACAGCACATGTGTGGGGGGTGGTGTGGGAGTTTCTTATTGGCTATAGCGATAGGAGACTTCTAATTGGGCAAGAGTTTTTGTCTTGGCCAATGAACAATGCGTGGGTGCGTCGGGAGCGGAGTTTTGATTTTTCATTACCAGAATAACCAGATATGGCTGAAGAGGTGGAAAGAGCTGTGCCTACATTGTGATAGATTATTTTATGTAAATTACAGTTTCATCAGAAAAATAGTGTTAGGTTAGATTAGGTCAGGTTAGGTTTGGTTTTGTTGGTTTGTTGATTTTTTTATTTGTGTGATTTACTCGAAAAATTAAATACATTTTCGTTAAGATTGATGGGGAGGGTGGGGAAAGAGGGGGGGGGGGTCTCAAAAACTATTGATTTCCGGCTGAAATGAATATCAAATACATTCGAAACTCGTCAAATAACATCGGTAAAACATTTTTAATATCCAAACAAAGCCCTGTGCATTAGTGAAAATTTACCCATATTTTTAATATCCAAACAAAGACTGGTGCACAAGTGAAATTTGACCCAATTTAATATTCTAGACACTCTTGTCAGGTAGGTACATAATCCAGACCTGTCTTTAAATATCACCCATTATTGAGTATCTCTAAAAATGTTCACACTTTATTTAAGGAAATGCATCATTATAAAATGTCCAACCATATCTACAATAACATTAGAAACCGGTTCGACTAATTACCCAAATGTAGCCAAATGTAGCCGCAATGAAGTCAAATAATGGTTCTAGATGAATAAATCGGACTGCCAATCACTTCTCGACTAGTATTTGGTGTCAGAAAGTCACAAAAAATTGGAAAACTTACTTTAATCTGAGTTAATAGATCGCGTGCATGTACCGGGGTAGCGAGGAATTACCCAAATGTACCCGCAATGAAGTCAAATGATGGTCGTACAAGCGTAATTCGGGCTGTGAATCACTTCTCGATTATTATTTGGGGTCATAAAGCCAAAAAAAATTGGTAAACTTAATTTAATCTGAGTTGTGTTGTGTTAGGTTAGGTTAGGTACATGCACTTGATCTATTATCTCAGATTAAATTAAGTTTACCAATTTTTTGTGACTTCGTGACTACATTTGGGTACATTTGGGTAATTCCTCGCTCCCTCGGTACATGCACGCGATCTATTAACTCAGATTAAAGTAAGTTTTCCAATTTTTTGTGACTTTCTGACACCAAATACTTGTCGAGAAGTGATTGGCAGTCCGATTTATTCATCTAGGACCATTATTTGACTTCATTCCGGCTACATTTGGGTAATTAGTCGGACCCTTAGAAACTAAGAATAATTTCAACAAGAATTTGATAAAAACAATTAAATAATATATATATATATATATATATATATATATATATATATATATATATATATATATATATATATATATATATATATATATATATATATATATATATATATATATATATATATATATATATATATATATATATATATATATATATATATATATATATATATATATATATATATATATATATATATATATATAAATATATATATATATATATATATATATATATATATATATATATATATATATATATATATATATATATATATATATATATATATATATATATATATATATATATATATATATATATATATATAATATATATATATATATATATATATATATATATATATATAAATATATATATATATATATATATATATATATATATATATATATATATATATATATATATATATATATATATATATATATATATATATATATATATATATACTTGGCTATAGACAGCTCCCACCTCTACTATGTCTACTTAAATAATTACCTGTATTTCTTCCTTTCTAAAGCAATAAACACCAGTACTACTCACTATTCCAAGCCTTTTTGACGCTGTTATTCCTAGTTTCTGGTTTTCTTCGGTCAAAAAACCGCACACCAACGCCTTAGCTATCGTCCCTGCGTCCTCCATGATGTCTGTTGTGGTGAAGCAAAGGTAGAGACTCGTTGTTGAGGCGCCCGGCAGCCTGTGTGGTGTAGGCCCGCACGCCAGCCCGCCAAGCCTCCCCCATTATTCCCCCATACCAGCGAGGCTGTCTCTACACCACACTATCACAAAGTAAATTTCAACAGAATGTAAGTCTTCTAGGGTCAAAGATGCGCATTGATAAACATTTATCAACAGTAAAACTGAGTTGGCAAGTTAAAGCCAATGATACTTTATAATATCCTTAATTTTAAATTGCATCATAGCACTTGTAGTACACTTGTTCACCCCATTCAGTCTAGGCTAGAGAGAGTTAGGCGACCACACACTATCAAATATGTTTGTCAAACATTATGTTTGATCATACATCATACTGTAGCGTACTGTATGTGGCCAGTTGTCAAATTCTCTCTGCTTGTCTATTATCTCTTTGTTTGGGCTCTCATACGTACGTACATGTAAGGTATCTCACACTCAGGATGGAGGTAGAATAGTGTGGGGTACGTGTTATTGGTTCACACTCAGGATGGGTTGGGGAAAGGAAACTCACAATGTGCTCTCTGTATACATATTGTATTGGATGTACAATGCAGCTTGGTGCTGGGAAGGCAGCGTGGTTACAAGCGTTGAGTAGAGAGAGCTGGTTGGTGTGGGTGCTCAGAGGAGGACCAGCTTGTTGGTCGCCGGCTGGAGTGGGAGCCGCCAGGCAGGAGCGGAGGAGGTGTTGCTTGCTGGTGGCTGTAGGTAGAAAAACAGAGGTCACGGCCAGGTGAGGTCTTATATAGCGGGGTTAGGCGTGGCTTGATTGTAGACCTCTGCTTGTTCGGGGGCGCTGGTTACCTGACCTTGCCCTCGAGGCGTACGCTGGGGAATTCGAGGGTCAGCTAGTCAGCAACAAACGGCTTTTGTAGGGGAAGAATCCACTACAATACTCCCTCTTTCCTCCAGGCGGTGTAGGAGACTTGTTGTCTGCAGGGTTGCATCCCACATGTGAGGCAGAACGGGCGGTGCAGGAGACTTGTTGTCGGCAGGGTTGTATGCCACATGTGAGACATAACGGCAAGGGCGTGGATGAGCCGGCCGCTTGGGGAGACAACTCTGTCTAGACACACAAGATCTGTGGGAGAAGAGAGGGAGAAGGAAGGTTGTGGAGGCGATGAATGTTGTGCTTCACTCATGGCAGGTACAGAGTCCTCAGATGCGCCTGCTGGGGTGTGTGGGTCTGGGTCAGGAGCAGGGGCTGCTTCAGGAAGAGGGTCCATGACAGCAGCAGGGTCCACGACAGCAGCAGGGTGCAGGTCAGTAGCAGGGAGTACCTGAGGGAGAGAAAAAAAAGGTGTGTGAGGCCGCGTCAGATTGTAAAGGGGAACGAGGACGGTAGCAGCGTGGGCAATGAAGCGGAGGTAGTAATTGAGTAAACCCAGGAATTCTCGGAGTTTCTTCGCCGTTTCAGGTTTGGGGAACTCCTTAATGGCAGTTACCTTCTGTGATAGGGGTTGGATGCCGCTCGGCGAGACTCTGTGACCGAGGAAGTCGATGGAGGAGGCTCCGAAGACACACTTGGCAGGGTGAACTTTCATGTTGTTGTTCTGCAGGTGTTGGAGAAGGAGCTGTAGGTGGTGATGATGCTCGGCAGGCGTCAGAGATGTGACGAGAATGTCGTCTACGTAGACAGTGACAAAATCGAGGTCGCGAAGCATGTGGTCCATGTACCTCTGGAAGGTCTGGGCTGCATTGCATAGACCAAAACTCATGAAGGCATACTCGAAGAGACCGAACAGAGTGGTGAGGGCTGTCTTCTGGGTATCTGCAGGTGCTACTGGGATTTGGTGGAAGGCACGCTCCAAGTCGATCTTCGAGAAGATGGTCTTGCCATGGAGTTTGTGGTGGAAGTCCTGGACATGCGGGATAGGGTACCTGTCAGATTTGGTGACAAGGTTCAGAGCTCTGTAGTCACCACATACCCTCCAGTCGTTGGATGATGGCTTTGGAACCATGTGAAAAGGCGATGCCCAGGGACTCTTTGAAGGTCGAATGATGCTGTCTTGCAGGAGTCTGTTGAATTCCGCCTTGTCTGTATTCAGGAGCTCAGGGCGAAGGCGGCGAGGGCGTGAAAAGACTGGAGGTCCTTTAGTTTCGATGTGGTGGAAAATTCCAGACATAGGTGATGGTGGAGAGACTCGGAGTGAGAAAAGTTCCTTGAACTTCTCGAGCAGGGAGGAGAACTCGTTGGACGGCGAGAGGCAGGTGATGGTGTCGGTGTCTGCGGCACGTGTACCCTTGATCATGCGTGCTGTAGGCTCATGGATGAGGCAAAGGTTGCTTGGGTCGACTCCGAGCTTGTGGAAGGTGAGGAAGTCGAAGCCAAGGATGGGTTGAGAGACGTCTGCGACCACGAATGACAAGCGCAGAATCTTGGGAAGACCGAGGTTTAAGGCGAGGATGTGTGCACCGTAGGAGGCGATGGGGGTACCGTTGGTAGCGAACAAGTCGTAAGAGGGTTGCTTTGATGTGTCTTGCAGTGAGGGAGGGATGATGCTGACCGATGAACCTGTGTCGACGAGGAATTTCCTGCCGGAGGTGCGGTCGGTGATGTGCAGTAGTGAGACGCCTGAAGTAACAGGGGCTGTGGCGTCTACCAATCCCCGGTGATGCCGTTTCCCGAGTAGTTGCAGGGGGGCTCACAATGTCTAGCATTGGCACCGAAGTGTTGGTGGTACCAGCAGAGGGTAGGTCCGTTGTGCTGGGAGCTGGCGGCGGTTTCCGGGGCAGGATGAAGACGTCGGGGTTTGCAGGACGCGGTGCGTGGGGCAGGAACAGACCCAGCAGCAAGCGTGGAGGAGCAGAGCTGCTCAATGGTGTCCATCCTGCAGTGTAGAGACTGCAGCAGATCCCTGATGTCTTGTGAGGTGTTGCCCGACTGAGGGCCGTTGATCCGGTTGACAAGATCGGAGGTAAGTAATGGTGTGGCCGTTGGGTTGTCCGCGGCGGTGAGGTGCGCAGCAGTGTACTCATAGAATATTCTGTCTCACGAGGTTGCGTAGATATCCGGTTTCGTAGAGTAATCTACTGTGGACAGGGTGATACGAACTGTGTGGGGAGCTTCTGTGCATGAAGCTGGCGCAGGACAGTGTCGGGAAGCCTGTCTGTGTGCTGGGAGTTCAGTCTCCACATCTCGTCCCAGAGACGTGCAGGCGTTGAGTTGCCGAAGGAGAGACAGGTTAGATTTTGCAGGAGACTGGTGTGGGACCGCTGGTAACGCGTCTTTAGAGCATCCCGCAGGGCAGCAAACTTGTTGTCAGCTAGAGGGTTGGTAATGGTCTTTGAGACTTGCGTGGCGACTTCCGTGGGCAAGGAACAGAGCAGGGCGACGTACTTTTGCTCGTCATTAGCTGCTGAGCCGGTGAGGGCTGCCTCCACACGAATTAACCAGTCCTCGATGTTGTGGTTGAAGGTTGGTAGAGAGAGATCCGTTTGTCGTCCATTCTTGTGAGAGTGCGTCACACCTGTTAGCTAAGGATGAGGGACGGGTGCTTGCTCCGACCCCCTTCCGTGTTCACAATATCCTGAGAGGAAGGTGAACAGTTTTAGGGGGGACTTCAGGACGAATACACTTTTTGAGGGTGCAGGTGCCTAGGCTAGAGCGAAAAAATAAAAGAAAAATAGTAGGAGTAGGCAAAAGAGCTCAAACCACGTCTGGAATATCGCCCTATAGCTGCTCTCCGGCTGTGATGTGGATCACTCACACCACCAGTGGGAAGAACAAACTAATACTCAATAAACCTAATGGTCGTGAGACGTTGTAGTGGCGGGTGGTCCAGTCAGGTCAGGTGGCCAACCATGGCAGCAGAGGGCGGGCAGTCCTCACAGCTCCAGGGGTATGGCAGCAGAGAGAAAGTATGGCATTCACAGCTCCAGGAGTCACCAATTGTAGCGTACGGTATGTGCCCAGTTGTCAAGTTCTCTTTGTTTGTCTATTTCTCTTTGAATGGGCTCATATACGTACATACATGTAAGATATCTCACACTCAGGATGGAGGTAGAATAGAAACTCACAATGCGTTTTCTGTAAATATATTGTATGTACAATGCAGTGCTAAGGAGTTGCGGTGTGGTGAGAAGCTTGCTCAGAGGTCCTGTTGGGTGAGGAGCTTGATGAGGGAGCTGGTTGGTGAGGAACTTTTTTGGAGGTCTTGTTGTCATGGTCACGTTGACTGCTAGTCTGTTTTAACACTACTGATTCTTATTATACTCCACGAACGTAAAACATGAGTGGGTTAGCTATCCCTGAGAAGACGTGTTTTCTCCGTCGACGCTTAGACTCATGATCCCTCCCAGTAAGTCCCACCTTCGAACACAGTTGTCAACACGTTTTTTCCACTTCTGCAGGCAAGCTCAATCTTGAATTAGCCTGTGTGGATCAACTTTAGAAATTCGCCAGACCTTTATCAACTGAGGGTCATCTTTGAATGAGAAACAGTTGAGTTGTTTGTAATTTCTGTCATTGCGTAAGTAGCGATCGCTGGCAACTCAGAGGTATATATACCATGGGCGGGCAGAGAGAGCGTCCCGTGACACCTTCTCTCCCGTTTGTTCCCAGGTATGTACTGTAGATGTGTTCCCTAGTCATTGTAGTGAATATCAGTGTTCATCAGTGTTCATGTTGTAACAGTGGAATTTTCATTCACCCAGTGTAAGAAGTAATGTAAAGTAAATGTCGTCTGACGTTGTGAGATGAAGGATTTGTTTGCGATTGTCATGATGCTTTCCTCCCGTGACACCTTCTCTCCCGTTTGTTCCCAGATTCCAGGGTGTCTTTTGAACACCCCATCGGCTGTTGAGCCGGTGGGTAACCAACAGGGATCAATATATGCATTGATGTCGGTGATTCAACATGATTGAGACGGCAGGTCCGCCTCGTGAGCTAGACCCCAGACTCGCCATGTGTCTGGCTACCACCGATCACAGCAACGGTCGTGAGCCCCAGTGTCCTCCCCTGGGATGCTCCCTGGAAGTTATG